CGGGCCCCAGCCGGTCCTCCAGCAGCTGCGGCAGCCACCGGCTCATGCCTGGCACCGGGGTCGCCCTCCCGAGCGGCCCATCCGGGCTCATGCCTGGCACCGGGGTCGCCCTCCCGAGCGGCCTCTGCGGACTCATGCCTGGTTCCCTGTTTTACAGGGTCACCCCATGTCCTAGGACTTTGTTTTTTGGGTGGTTTTGTTTTGTTTTTGAATGAGCTTCCTACAGTGACCTCACTACCTAAAGTAACATTAAATGTTACCCCTAATTTCACAAAAATATTTGATTATCTCAAAGCTTTATCCTAGCACCCTGAAAATGTAAATGTATTTGTCATATACAGCAAAGTATATGATCAGAATTTTTAAGATATTGCTGAGGTCACCATGGGATACCAGTTTGCATGGGGTGACCTGTTTAGAGAATATACATCTCAGCTTATAGTTATCAGGCTTGTCGAAGTTGCTACCTTGAATTTATATATACAGTATGACTAGAAGAAGGCTCAGCTCACCCTCCAAAAGCACATAACCCAGTATAATATTTCTAATGTGTACAACTACAGGTGCAATTTGAGTTCTGGGTAGGTATGACATGAGATGCCTGATAACTGATAACAGCTTTGGTTAAAATGGCACAGACAAATGGCTTAACACTTCTTTTCTGTGTTTGCTACAGAGGCGACAGCAGGTAAGAAGGCGGGCAAGCCCGGCGGCAGCAGCATTCGAATCGGCAGGCCAGCAGAGAGTCAACTGATGGCAGCATGAACAGCTACAGCTCTGAGGGGAAGTATGTAGACACCAACATAACAAGCCAGTCAAGATGTGGACATGGTTTTATTATAGATCCATTTATATTGATATTGTGCTTTTTCTGGCATCAAAAATTTAGTTTATTATTAAATTATGATAACATCCGATGGAAGTTAGAGCGCACATCATAAAGGAAGTATGTTACCCAATGTGTCACACAATTTGTATAAAGTTGTAGTTTAATTGGAGGGGTGCTCAGTCATGCATAGTGCACTTACATATAGTTGAGGAACTCACACGAGTCAGATAAAAAAAAAAAGATTAGCAAAAATCAAAGCTGTAGACGCTTGTAGTTGATAGCATGGCTCAAGCTCCACAAACACAGAATCCTCCCTTTCCCATAATGTTAAACCCTCCCTGCCTCATAAACCCCGAGAAAACATGTACATTTAAATATTTACAGTTTTATGGCAACTCTGCCAACTCCCTCTGCCAATAAAGATTGCGTTGTGTGTTACAAAAGCATCATTACAGCCAGTAAATACCATGGAATAAGATTGTTTTGTCTTCTTCCAGGGTCAGGAATGACATTTGAAACTCAGTCCATAATTTTAGTGTTACACAAATTTTCCATTAAGACTTTGTATATTTCAAGCCTGAGCTAAGATAACCCTGATGTCATCAGGTTGGTGGAGTTGCCCTATATAAAGTACATGTCCGTAAACACTATGCACAGGGATAACCATTATGGATGAAGCTATAACATGGTGATGACAGGGAATCTTTTCATCTGTGTCTGTGTGTGTCAGTCTGATCTTCTCAGGGATGCGGTTGGGTGCCGACAGTCAGTTCAGTGACTTTTTGGATGGTTTAGGTCCTGGTCAGCTAGTTGGCCGGCAAACACTGGCAACACCTGCCATGGGTGAGTGACAGCTTAGGGTTACTGTACATTTTATACACAACATGTCCATATTTGCAATACAGAAAAAAATAGGAAATACTGGATTCTATTAGTCTCCTTAAATGTGAAGTTAGAGAAGTATAGCACCTTTTATTTAACTATAAAAACAGTGTATGTACTACATTGTTCACAAGGTTTTAAGTTTGTGATCCATATGTCTCCTGTGTATACAGGTGATGTCCAGATTGGTTTGATGGACAAGAAAGGCCAGTTGGAGGTGGAGGTGATCAGAGCACGAGGCCTTACCCCCAAACCAGGCTCCAAATCTCTCCCAGGTGACACACAGTTATTCACATCTGGAAATCTTTGACAAAAGTCACATTCAACCATTATGCAACCTGAACTCAACACTTGTGTCTCAAACCTAAATGTCAAACTCAAACACTACTTTCTGCTTTCCCCATATCATTCATAATCCCACCCACCCATCCACTTCCTATCCTCCCTCTTTCTGTCATTTTGCATCCTCCTGACCCCCACCCCCACCCCAGCTCCCTATGTCAAGGTGTACCTGCTGGATAATGGAACTTGTAAAGCCAAAAAGAAAACTAAGATTGCACGAAAGACCCTGGAGCCACTCTACCAGCAGCACCTGCTCTTTGAAGAGAGTCCTCAGGGCAAGGTGCTTCAGGTAATATTCTGTGTGTGTGGTGTGGGAGGGTGAGGTATACTTTAATCTCAAACTGACAAGCCCTTGCTCTTACTGTAATTTCAATGTCCATAAAAATATTTATGATTCCTTTTAAGTCACAGTTAAACAGAAAATGACCACTTTATAGTGTAATTGTCTCTATGCCAGTGCTGTAGACTTGAGACTTGGACTTAAGTCAGACTCAAGTTACTTTTCTGGAACCACTCAGGACTTAACTTGCACTTGTCTTGTGATTTGATTTAGCCCAAATGATGTGACACTTGCATTGGACTTGAATAACTGAAGACCTGACTTGACCTTATTTAAACTTATTTGAGAACTGACCTGGACTTCAAAATCAGATAGACTTTCTCTTCAAGGATTTAAGATCTTTTTGGAGTCACATGACTTGACGGTTGTTTAAAACTTGTCTTGAAATACTTGAGACTTGTTGCACAAAACACTCAGCGCTGCTTAATGCTTTGAGATTCTTTGAGTGTTTTTAAAAAAATTAGTTTTAGGAATGTTCATTTGCCTGAACTGAAGCCTAAAAGCCATGGTTGCCATCATGTGTTAAGAAGTGATTAATCCCATGCACACTTGAACCTATTTGTACCATTCCCTCCTCCAGGTGATAGTATGGGGTGACTATGGACGATTGGACCACAAATGTTTCATGGGTGTAGCACAGATTCTATTGGAGGAGCTGGACCTCTCAAGCACGGTGATTGGCTGGTACAAACTGTTTCCTCCATCCTCATTGGTGGACCCTACATTAGCTCCGCTCACGCGCCTGGCGTCTCAGACGTCATTGGACAGCTCAGGACTGCCGCCGGGCGTTCGGTCCTAGTGACCAGATGGCGACCACCCCCTAGCCAGACGGAGAGACAGGGAGAGAGAGTTAGAGAGGGAGAGACAGAACTAGCCAGTCAAAGCTTATCTGGAATCTGACAATCACATCCCACACCTTCCCTCTTCCTCCTCCTGACACCTTTTTGTTTTCACAGCTTTGCTTTCTCCTCTGAACTGCAGCAGTGGAAGTTTGTCTTCACTTCTCTGTACTGTTTCTTCCTTTCTTTTGTTGTTACTTTCTTGTGCAGTTCCTACCAGAGCACCAGATCAAAGCAGAGTCTGCCACTCAGTAGCCCCTCCAGCCAATCAGAGTAGAGCATAGGCCAGAGGGATGAGTGGTATAAACAGTGTGTGACAGTTAGAACTTAGCAAGCTTCATGCAGCTGTGCTGTCAAATAGAGGCCGGCTGTCGTCTCTACTGTGCTACCATGGTAACAGTGAATTGTAAATGAAATCGAGGCATAGCAGTTTGTCTTTAGGTGACGTGAGCCTGCACAAGCACGTGCACATTTTTAGCTTAGTTATGAGAAATGAAAGCAAGCACAAGAAAAGCTTGACTCCTTTATTTGGACAGAGACAAACAGAGGTTTTGCTCTTTTTCTAAACAAAGAGGAAAGAAAATACAGGCCAAATTAACTATTTGCTTTTTTTTAAATTGGAATATTTTTTCTGTCTTTTTGCTAGAGTTCAGAACGGTACCTTAAGGTGCAGACTCCCTCTGTGTAGGTGTAAGTTTGGTTTTTGAGCGATAGTGCGCCAAAGGCCAACAACAAAGGTCAGGTCACATTCGCCGGAACACCCTTCACCCAACCCTAATCTCTGAAACCAACTCGTCAAACTCCCCCTGTAGGAGGGAGCAGCATGACTCGGGGCTGACCTGCCCCGGCCACAAGCTGCATGCATGTTTCTTTTGTTCTGTTTGTTTCTATTTTTTTCCTGTTCTCTACTTTTTTGTAACATTGATGATGAGACAAATTAACAAGCAATTCTCAAAAAACAAAAAGAGAAAAAAAAAGACTAGACTCTGTGTGTTAGTTCCACATACAGTACTTTTAGGCCAGCTTGTGTGTTGCATGTTCTTGTACAGTTTGCTCGTACTGAATATGAATACAAACAGAGAAAAGCCAAGCCATCCCCGCCCCCTCACAGGAGCAGACCTACAGGGGGGGATCAGCTCAGCCCAGGCTATGCCTACCACTCTGGGTCTAAATATCCATGTTAGAAAGTCTCTGAAAAAGTTCCTTTTTTTCACTTTTACTTTGAACCCTTTCAACAACAGTGCTGTTCTTAAGTACTGAATATATTTGAGCCCCTGGCATATCTGAGGATGTAGGTGTCTAAACTGTAGTTTAAGACAGTTGGGGCTAGAGACAGAGATAGAGAATGTGTGTATAACAGCTAAATGTATATGAAGTATCCTTATGCGTTTGACAGAAATTATAAAGATTTAGATATATGAATATAAAAAGAGTGTATTTGACTGTACACCCGTCACGTACACACACACACGCACACCTTGTACATACAAATCAGGATGAGCAACTTGAACTTAAGTTATGAACATCCAAAACATTGCTGACACACAAACATTCCTAGTTTTTCCAAGGAGAATTTGCGTCCGTTTAATGTGCTCCAGCTGCTGAGCGGCACCGAGCCACTAGAGGGTGCTAATATGCCTTTATTTTTGTCCCAGTTGCAGAAAAATAAGCAGAACCAATTAGAGGGAAAAAAGATTTCTTCTCTTCAAATCCCTTTCTCTGTTTATTACTATTGGTTTGGACTGGACTTCTAAAGCCAATGAGAAATATGGTTTTGCAGACATATTTTGAGGATGTTTCTGTTGAAGTCTTTGGAGTGTGGTCAACCGCCCTTTCCTTTGTCAGTATTACTCTAGGAATACTGATTGTTTACAGCCCACGGCTCCCCACTCCCAAACCACGATTCTAGATGAAAGATGAAGTATTCACTGCAACAATTCTTGTTTGTATAACAGATGTGGCTCTACTGATGTGTATGTTTTATATTCAAGAGTTCATTTTTATTATTTACAAATAAAAGACTGTGTGGAAAAAGACTCTTGCTTTTTTGAACAGAGTGGTCTCACATTATTTTAAAGCTGGTAACTTCAGAGTCTTATTTAACATGGTGAATGTGGTTATTTTTCACTGCACAAAGTGCACTTGTCATTTTCAGGCTTTTTCTCAAAGACCAGCAGTAGTTTCCCACTGTAACATTTGTAACAAGGGTGTAGTTTTGCATGAATAGTAGGGACATGTCCCTACCAATATTTGAGCAAACCTGTGCGCACTATTTTTGGAGTGAAGTCATATTATATCATTCTGATGTGCCCTCCCTGAGGCTACATCTGCAAGACGACAGCAGCATGTGACTAACTGAAAGGGAGGGTTTGGCTGGGGATGTGCCCCTGCTAATGTTGAGATCAAACCTATGCCCTTGGAATAATGGGTACACCTACACTACTCCACTACAAGAAGGATGTCTGTGTGTCTTTTGGACAGTACTGAACTTGATGGTGCTGAAAATGATGCAAATCTAATCCAAATATGATTAACATGTACCTTATGTTTTTGCACTGTTATAACATTCAAAGTCAAAATCAGATCAAACAGGGGATAAGTTACTGGTTAGGTTGTAGCAGTATTTCCTAGAAGCAGGCTTTAATCATTAGCCTGATTGTTATAGCGAACAAGCTTAAGCAAAGTAAAAGTGTACTGGACTGACGTCTAACCACACTTGGAACTAATTAGCGGCAACACGTCCAGCTTGCCTTGCTTGAAAAGCTTCTTGTTAGCAGAGTTTTACTGCTGTTCTATGTTAACATTAAATTCTGACTGATGCTAGATAAAGTCACCCACTTGAACTCGAAAATACACATTTGTTCTACTGCTTTACCTCAAAATAACAGCTAGGCACCTGTGCACTGCATACATACCCTAAACACACATTACACTTTTATTGTGATTTTCTACTGCTGCTCACCGGTGCAGCAGAAGAGCCAACACCATCTTCCATTTTCAAAATCTACTACACCTTTCAGGACCTGGAGCAGAAACAAACCATTGACTGTGGAAAATATATATCAATGAGACAAACCATTGGAGACCAAGCTGACAACCGATTTGACTCTGCTTTGTGATTGGATAACCTGCATACTTACCAGCTCTCCTGATCTCCAGTGTGGTGTGCCTTCCTCTCCAGTTCAGCCACCTTTTCTCCTGATTTCTACAGCTTCCTTCTTTACCACTACATCCATTCTTCCAGCTGTTTAGTCAACCCTCTCGTCCGTTTGAGAGACCCGCTGTGTGTGTGTGTGTGTGTGTGTGTATTCCCCCGTTTGTCATACAATAAATACTGATTTTCTTCTCTGGGGCTGGGTGTCTGCATCTTGGCGTCTTGGTATGTCCTGTGCAGGCGACCCTGGTGCAAGACAGGGGAATGGAGAGGTCACCGGGGAAGGCGGCCTCGAAGCAGTACAAGCATTTCAAAACAGCAAACACCACAAGGATCTCTTAAAAACAAATCAAGAATCTTAAAAAACAATTCGAGAATACCCAAAAAACAAGACAGTACAAGCATTTCAGAGAAAGTTAGGAGCAGATATCGCTCTCACTCAAATCACAGACAGGGCAGTCTGTGGTCAGAGGGGGAGGGGCGGAAGTGTACGCATTCCTAGCATTAGCATATGGTAGGGTCCAGAGTTTTATTGTTCTTTGTGTAGGAGGGTGGCAGAGAGGGGGAGGGAAGCATGGCATGGTCGAGGTCCCCGAAATAAGGATTAGGGCCTGCGGGTGCTGTGTCCGCCGAGACATCGTGCGCCTGCACGCAGCAGCAGAGCCGGCCCGGGGACCAGTGGAGAACCGTCACCACAGACAACAGATCCTGGAGTCCCGGTGAAGCGCGTGCAGGACCAATCCTCCTGTACACCCGCTGCAGCTCCGCCAGCACGGCCAGCTCGTCCGTTCATGCAGAAAATTTACAAGGTGATGTAAACAGTGAACAAGTTGAGTTTTTTCAAGTACAACTAGCTAGGTTAAAGGAACAACTGGAATCACAGACTGATGATATTGAGAAGGAGAGGTTAGAGTTAGCTTAATGAAAGTGCGCATGAGTGAAGTGGGACTAGAGGAGTTTGATGCTAAGGCAGAAAATGCAAGACTTCATATGGTGCTTGACAGAAAGCACGCCTAGTCAGTGTTTGGGACCACAATCTCCAGACTTACTGCTCATAGCCATCACTCAATCTGTTCATTAGAACAGCAAAGTGTCACAGCAAAAAAAAGCGTGTGCTGCACAGTTAGCTGCAAAGGAGGTTGAAATGAAAATGGAAGAGGCAATTGCTGCACAAAGGCAAGAACTTGCTGCACAAAAGCAAGAACCTAAAAGGCTAGAAAATCAAAGAGATCTTCAAGTAATGGCTGCAAAGCTTAAAGCATACTCTGAAGCTGACTCAGGTGAGGCCTGTGACAACAGTAGAATAGCACCCAGTGAGGTAGCCAAATGTTCTCCAACACCTCAGAAAGAAATTAAATGGGAACAAACTTGTAAGAACAACAGTGAGCAGACAAACTACACTAATATTGAAACATCATTAGTACAAGCCCTACATGACACAATGTCCCTCAACAAACTTTTGACACCTGAGCCCTGTGTCTTTTCAGGAGATCCGCTTAAGTTTCTAGAGTGGAGTACAAGTTTCAAGGCTTTGACAGAACGTAGATGCTCAAACCCAGCTGACAGGTTGTTATACTTACAAAAATACATCAGTTGTGAGGCAGGGTCTGTATTAGGAGGAAGCTTCTACAGAAAAGATGACGATGCCTACAACCAAGCATGGGAAGAGTTGAATGCTCATTATGGCCATCCCTTTGTAGTACAGCGTGCATTTTGAGAAAAACTGAACAACTGGCCAAAGATTGGCTCAAGAGACTCAATTAAACTGAGACAATTCAGTGACTTTCTGACAGCCTGCAGTAATGCCATGCCACACATCAAAGGGCTTCAAGTGTTAAACGATTGTGAAGAGAATCAAAAAATGCTGCAAAAACTTCCTGATTGGGTAGCATCCCGCTGGAATCATCATGTCACAAAGCAGTTGCGGCAAACAGAAGAGTACCCTAGTTTCAAAGAGTTTGCTGATTTTGTAGCACAAGAGGCAGAAATTGCATGCAATCCTGTAACGTCTTTTCATGCCCTGAAGTCTGAGGAGAAGCCATCCAGAGATATAAGATATCCAAAGGCTAATGCATTCATCACAAATGTGAAAGCACCAGACAAATCAAATACAGTGATAAAAACACACAATGCTGTGGTGACCAGTTCCAAAGATTCAAATGGACTTGACAAGGGAAAGGCTTCATCTTCAAACTCAGTTACATGTATCTGCTGTGGAGAAAGCCACTCCATCCACAAATGCCAGAAGCTTGCTAGTCAACCCCTAGAGAACAAGAGGAAGTTCATAATGGACAATAACTTGTGCTTTGGTTGTCTTAAGAGAGGACACAATTCAAAGGAGTGCAAGAATAAGGCTACTTGTGGCAAATGTAAGAAACATCATCCAACACCACTTCATGAGGACCGTCCTTCTGTTGCAGCAGACACATCTCCTGTTGTGCAAGCAGAAGAAAACACATCTTCCCTTTCCTGCTGCGTGGACAGAGGTGAAGGTGGGAGCACATCTATGATAGTACCTGTATGGATTTCATCAGCCACCACACCAAAAACTGAGACACTAGTGTATGCCTTATTAGATACGCAGAGTAGCAACACTTTTGTAGACCAAGAGGTATGTGGAGAAATAGGGGCAGATTCAAAGCCAGTCAAGTTAAAGCTTACCACTATGATGGGCAGAGATACCATTGTTCAGAGTGAGAGAGTTAGTGGGCTCAGAGTTAGAGGGTTTTCCTCACAAAGCTTTATCAACTTGCCACCTGCTTATACCAGAGATTTCATTCCCCTTGAACGTTCCCACATTCCTACCCCTGCAACAGCCAAAAAATGGAAACACCTGAACAGAATAGCTGAGGAAATTCCAGAATTGATGGACTGCAAAGTTGGACTCCTGATAGGCTATGATTGCTCCAAAGCATTAGCGCCACAACAAGTCATCACAGGAGGTGATTATGAGCCTTATGCCATCAAGACCGACCTAGGCTGGAGCATTGTTGGCAGCTCACCACAAGTCGCACAGTCAACAGAGGTGACAGGTCTGTGCTACCGCACATCAGTCAAAGAACTTCCACTGTTAACACCAGCCATGGTCATCAGAGCCCTTGAGCTGGACTTCAGAGACACAAACCCAGGAGAAAAGACTATATCACAAGATGACATACAGTTCATGCAATTACTGAATAAGAGAATACACCAGAACGGAGATGGGCATCTGGAAATGCCTCTTCCCTTTAAGACACACCCCCATCTTCCAGAAAACAAACAGCTGGCTCTATTGCGGCTAAAGCACCTGAAAGAGAAACTTGAGAAAAATCCCAAATTCAAGCAGGACTACATTCAGTTTATGGAAGGTGTCTTTAAGGATGGTGATGCAGAGAGAGCTGAAAATCAACCTAAAGCAGGAAATGTTTGGTACATTCCACACCAAGGGGTCTATCATCCTAGAAAGCCAGAAAAAATTAGGGTGGTGTTTGACTGTTCTGCCAAGTTCAAGGGCACAGCTTTGAATGATCACTTGTTAACTGGACCCGATCTTACAAATGGGCTGACTGGAGTGCTCTGCAGGTTCCGCAAACACCCTATCGCAGTCATCTGTGATGTAGAAAAAATGTTTCACAGGTTCCATGTAAGCCAAGAAGACAGAGATTACTTACGGTTCCTGTGGTGGGAGAATGGAAATACAAACTCAGAGCCAAAAGAATATCGCATGAAAGTCCACCTTTTTGGAGCAGCATCCTCTCCTGGCTGTGCAAACTATGGTATGAAGTATCTGGCAAGCCAAAACGAAAGGAAGTATTCTGCAGCAGCCAACTTCATTAAAAAGAACTTCTACGTTGATGATGGCCTTATCAGTGTAGAGTCTGTAGACACAGCCATCCAACTA